GGGGGGGGGTCTTGCTAGGGTCAACCTGTGTGGAAGAAAACAGCAAAGAGTGAGTACACAGTGACGCCAGAATGATATATGTAGATGATGAAGAGACAGGAAACGTACCTCTGCAGTGAACTAGAGGACAGATTATTCGTAAATGTCCTTCTTGTCTGCGATGTACTGTACAATCTCGTCAGGAGTCATCAGCTTCTCTGCTTCTCCGTCAGGGATCTCAAAGCCTGCAGGAAAAACCAATGGAAACAAAATTAAAACGTGTTTTTCTGTTCAAAGATGAGGCTAAATACATTAGCTGTTGACACGCAGTATGAAGGCGGCTAATGTTCCGCGTGATGACGTTTATTAATCGAGTATTTAGTAGAAGCTTCGGACATTAAATGACTGGGGTATTTACTGTCGTAGAACAAAATGTGAAAATCTCTTCAATATACTAATTTATAGGGATGTCCCGATCACCTTTTTTTGCTCCCGATCCGATTCCGATCATTTGATTTTGACAATTTGCCGATACGGATTTTTCCCGATCCGATCTTTATGCAATGCATTAAGAGAAAAAAAAGCATTCAAGTTGTCCCTTAAGGTTATTTTTTTATTTAAATTGGATATTCTATCCAACATGGATATAGCTTCTTTCTTTCACAGCAGCATTGGATCAAAACAAAATAAAGCTTTCAGTACTCGTTAGCTTACTGCTACAATTAGACACTACGCCCTGCCCACTCTGTTGCCAGATTTGAGAGAAATAAGCAGGTCTATGAAAACAAGCCCCAAAGAAGCAACACATACATGATGTTGTGTAATTTGAAACCAAAACTAAGGCCTCAGGATGACTTTAAGACTTGAACATGGTCATTTTTGTTTTGTAACATTGAATACAACATTTAAAAAAAAGTATTTAAAAATGTTTTTCTTTTTTTTTTTATTCCCGATCCCCGATTTTTTTTCTCCCGATTCCGATCTTTTGAAAATCACGTGATCAGCTCCGATCCCCGATCACGTGATCGGATCATCTCTACTAATTTATTTAAATAGTTAACACCGCAATAAACCGCATTTAAATTTTGTCTTAATTTACATTATTTAATATTCTGTTCTTGTACACATCCCATATTCTATTGACATGTAAATAGACTTTTTGCACTATTTAGTATTTTATTATGTTGGATTGTTGGAGAAGCTCAGGTCAGAGGTCAGAAGCTACACTGTAGCTTTGTACATATGACAATAAAACGTTTGAATCTTGAATTGAATTTGAATCTTCAGCTTGTGTTAACGAGGGTTAGTAGTAGTTTAGTGTGATCTGACTCACCGAACTCGTCCTCCATGGCCATGATGATCTCCACCTGGTCCAAACTGTCCAGCCCCAGGTCTTTCATGAAGTGGGAGGTGGCTTGCAGCTGAGGAGCCGACAGTCACAGGCATTAAAGTCTCACAATCGCTTTGTTTCTCAACAAAATCTCAAGCCATGTTCAGTTTATGGTCTGGATATGAATCATGGATATTTCAAATAAAAATAGCTGGATAATCACTACACCATTTTGTAATGGACATTTTTGACAATGTTTTCAGACTTGATGTTTCGCCTTTTACCTTCTCGGGGTTGATCTTGTCGTAGAGCTTCAGGACGTACAGGACGCGTTCTTCGATGCTTTCTAGGGTGAGGGGGGGCAGATGACCATACTGTCGGCACAACACGTCCAATGAGGGGAACTGAGGAGGAGATGAAGAGGTGTCAGGAGCAGAGACGATAGGTTGGATGAAGGTCATGGACAGAGGACAAAGACACAAGCTACTGAACTAGCTTACAGCTGTTTATGCTCACTTACAATCTGTGTCTAAATGTTACTGGCACAAAATGATAGCAGGCTCTAGCCAAAAAGCACTTGTTAAATAGACACAGCACTATTAAGGTAACAAGTGGATGGTTCTTTTTATTTGTATCCCTTTTCTTTATGTTCAACACTCAATAGTGCACACGTGCCAAACTATAATTAAAAGAGTTACATTAGCATATCACTTAATATGCTTAGAGAATATTACTGAAGAGATGCTGTAGGAGGGATGTGAAATGTATGCATTAGCATTAGCATTAGCATCACATTTTTATAAGAAATCTAATGTTTTGTTACAGGCTAAATGATTTGAGGGGATATGCTTTAGTGCCAACTACTAATCAATATGACACTAATGTATATTCTCTGAAGGCCATTAACTCCTATCATGCATTTACATTTCAAATGAATCCTATATTATGTGTAGTATTTGATATTTTATCCCCGACTGTTATAAAGGTTGATAGACTGAATGAATGAATGAAATGTGCTATACGAACACAACTGTCTTATGTTCGTTCTAAATAGTCGAACCAATGTTGGTTGTACATGAATTTCGGTTAACGTGTAACTTTATATTATTTTAGTTGTGGACAACACACATTAAAGTATCATAAAATAAGTCATCATGCGTCCCACACTTCAGAAAACAGTAATTGATCAAGCTAACATCACACACAGCACAAAAATAAAAATCTAAGCACTATGTCTATCTGACAAGCCCGATTATCTATTAACCATACAACTACAACTAGCTGTGTAGCGTTAAAAGGCGATTAGGTTTAACTTTAAGTCTCCTCATGTCTGTAAATTGAAGGTGAAACAGGGACAACAACACAAATGTGTGTCCATTAGCTAACAAGCTAGCTGCGCAACAGCAGAGTATGACTGTTGTGCAACCAAAAATAAAACGTGTTCATATTCAGTGGACTTCAGGAAGAATGTCCCACAGACATATGTTATAAGTGGTATATTAAACTACTCGCATGGCATTAAGAACTTTTAGCGCGCCGGGTTAGCCTGACATATTTGAAAGGCGTCGGTAGGTCACCGCTGTTTAGGCCCCGAAGGCTCAATGTTACCGGAGACTCACCCGGTTCACACACCGCGTCCTCCGGTCGGCCGAGTAGAAGGAGAGGGCTCGGTGGAGAGGAGCTGCCGGTACCACCGCGGCTCTGAGGGCCAGGGGGCCGGAGGAGAGCCTCAGCGTGCGGACACAGTGCTGCAGGACACGGGCCGCCATGACAGAGAAACAGTGACTGAAGGATCCCAGCGTGCAACGCGATGCGATGAAGAGACGAGATCATGAGCTACCATGTACGCATGCGCACAACTCAAACTGTGTTTAATTCTTATTTTTTATTAAGGTTATTTGATTGTGTTTGTGCGGTTTATAATGCAATGAACTCAACCTATAAAGAGATATCTTTTAACTTTGGATTTAATAAAAAAAGTATTCCAAAGGTGATAGGATTGATTTTAGGAAGGAATAATCGATAACAAAAAAACACAACAGATTAGTTTCATAATTACCTTTCCCCATGACACAAATAAGTAGAATATTTCTACACACTAAAAATTCAATAATTTCTCAATCAGCACGATACAGCTCAAATATATCAAACTGGAGATAGTTTAATTTGCTTGGCTTGACCAAATGCATCGATTATTTGGCACTCAACTAGTTTTGCCTGACAACAGAGCAGCAACACAAACTGTGTCTTTATTTGGAATATTTTATTTTTTAGAGATTGTTATGTTATTTTAATTGTAATGTTTCCTTAAATGTAGTTAACTAAAACACCACATTTTATTAAAATTAAACATACTAACTTGCAAACGAGTTATGATTAATCTAAGGGAGGACTAATCAATAACAGAGCAACATAACGGAAAAGTAGTTTGATCATTACCTTGCCACATGATGCAAACGAGTAGAATATACACTTCATACACATTCAAAATTCAATATACAGTTACAAGATACAACTCAAATAAAGCAAACACCGGTGGATAGTTTCACTTGTTTGGTTAAACGAAATGTATCGATGATTTTTCACTTGACTCGTTTAGTCTGAGAATCCCAGTGTCGGCAGAAGAAGAGAGCTGACAGCAGAGCAGAAACACAAACAGAGGACTATTATCACTAAATTGTCCCCATTTTACTTTATATTTAATTAAATATATACAATATTCTATTTATTCCCAGCCATGGAGTTGTCAGAAATACTGTACAACAAAGCGGAGTACATTGAGACGGTAATATGTGTGATTTTAATCCGTTGTTAGCTAGCTTGTTGCTAACCGTAGCTGATCTGGGCGTTGGGCGTTGGATAGCTGAAATCATTGTTAGACAATAAAGACAGAAACTCACTTTAATGCAGTTATTAATAATGTCTGTTGTTGTATTTCAGGCTTCTGGTAACAAAGTGAGCAGACAGTCAGTGCTGTGTGGGAGTCAAAACATCGTACTCAATGGCAAAGTAAGGAAAACAGACTGCTCGATAGTGTTATTCATGTACTTTATTAGGATGTGACAATTGTTTTATTGTGTGTGTTTGTATGTCCAGACTATAGTAATGAATGACTGCATCATCCGAGGGGACCTGGCTAATGTCAGGGTGGGCAGACACTGTGTGGTGAAGAGCCGCAGTGTAATCCGACCACCTTTCAAAAAGTTCAGCAAAGGGTAAAGCATATTTTTCTCTATTACATTCTAACAGGTAACAGACATAATTACATATGTGTGTTTTGTACCTGAATGAACATTTCTTCCTGACATCAAAGATACATATTTTTCCTCTGTTCAACTCTAAGTGAGTTGCAGTGTCGGGGATATAAATACCAAACATATTTATAAGGAGAGAGAGCAATGCTGGCACTGAGCTTGTGGAGCTAAAAGCCTCAAAAACGCACATCTCTTTTTTAGAAATCTTTACGGATTCAAGATAATCCACAGGCCTGTTGTGAAAAGTTTTACGAAAAGCACACTTTCTGCCAAACTATCCTAATAGATGGCCGAAAGGCTTGTGTTTGTATGCGTAACGTTCACATCTTGCTTTGTCTGTCTCTGATCAGTAGATCTAGTTTTTGACCACCAAAGGCCAACTGCCATCTTCCATTGTATTTAAGGGAAAGCACTTGCATTCCGCATTAAAACAGTCAACAGACAAATAACACTTCAGATATGTATTTATGCTTTGGGGGCAAACTGTCCCTATCATTTCTGTTTGCTATGACTATTCAACAAACACCTGACTGTATTATCTTTCTGCTCCCACCCTCCATCTCTCCCTCCAGAGTGGCTTTCTTCCCGCTGCACATCGGAGACCACGTCTTCATCGAGGAGGACTGTGTGGTCAACGCAGCGCAGATCGGTTCCTACGTCCACATTGGGAAGAACTGTGTCATAGTAAGTGGGATGAAAGCACACATACACAAACATCTAAGCAGAACAAATGATAAGGGAGAGGGGATATAAACAGAAGCAGTGTCTCCTCTAGCCTGTGGTGAAACAGTCACATGATAGTCATGTTCAGATGAACTGAGCGCAGGCAGGCACAGATCTGGAATGAAAAATAAAAGGAACACATTTAAAAATATATTTTATTGCCAGCGAGCAGTTTTGCCAGAGCTCATTACATTTTATCAGCATTGCGTTACTACATGCCATAATTGAAAAAGAGAAAATCAAAATTATTTTATAAACAGAGAATTCTGTTAATTAAATCAAAGAAAACCGCAGAATTTTCATAAGAATATTCATGTAAAATAGAAAAAGTCCAACAAAAAAAATCCAATAAATCCAATAAACATTTTAATAAAATAGTTGACTTCCTACTTGTCCAGTGCATTAAAGGTCCCATGGTGGTTATTACCCGTCCCCTTGTGTGTTATGAAGGTTTTTCTGCATGTAAACGGTCTGCAAAGTTACAAACCCTCAAAGTACACCCTGAAGGGATTAAAACTCTAACACAGCAAAGACCTGTCTGTGCTGCCCCAGAACGCCTCGTTGGACATTTTTCTTTTTCCATTTTTTTCTTCCTGCTTACAGGGTTGACCATACCCAAATGGACCAATTGGTCCAAATGGACCAATCCGTGGAGCTCCTCACACACACACACTCTCTCAGCGGCAAAACTGTGCTGGGGGGGGTGCTAGTGGAGCCTCGCAGCAGCGAAACTGTGGCGCGCTTACACTGTAGGTGCGCTGCGTTTGGGGGTGCGGGTGCTAGTGGAGCCTCGCAGATGGGGGTGCTGCAGCCCCCTCAGCACCCCACCTTCCCACGTCCATGGGGCTCAGGCTGAGTTTCGCGATGTCTCGCTTTCTCGCTGTCTTGTAGACCCCACGCAGCAACCAGGAAACAACACCAGTAATACAGCTCACACTGTCCCCTCCTCGCAGCAGCGAGCCGCGCAGCGTCCCGCCAGCACGGCACCCAGACCCCACGCAGCATTCTCATCTGTTTGTCATTACTGGTGTCATTTTCTGGTTGCTAACAAACGCCATTGTAACACATAAACACTGATGTTCCGCTGTAACGGTGGTGGACTCATCAGAACAGAGTGGGCGAGCTGACCAATCAGAGCACAGTGGGCTTATAGGGAGGGGGGGCAGGAGCTCCAACAAGCCGTTTAGGACAGAGAGTGAATACACATACTATACAGAGATGCTGTATGAGAAACCAATGTGATTTTGGAACATTGAACAATGTAAATCTATTCTAGTAAAAACTATCTCTTCTCACGCCCCCGAAAGAGTCCAACTAGAACGAGCGGGCACACGTCCGAGTGTAATGGACCGCGACCAATAGTGTGTTTGGTGGTGTGTGAGGAAAGAAATTGCAGTGCAGAGGCGAGAACTAAAGGTGAGGGAGCTGACGGTGAGGCCCGTGGTACGACGCTCAGAAGACGGAAAGGAGAAAGGAGTGAACTCGTCGAGAAGCCAGTTTAACTGTTAGAATTGTAACTCGTTGTCAACAAAGAGATGATATCAGTAAGACACGCGAAATAAAAAGGACCGTTGTATGTACTAAACGTCAAAGTGGTACAAGAAAAAAAGTAAAAGGGTTTTAACGTAATAACAACGAACATGATTCTACCTTGTTCTTCGAGCGCTACGTCTAGACTTCATATACCCCCGTTACGAAGTTGAGTCTAGTCTTACGTCGAATGAGGATGCGAGGTACAGCATCAAAAATCTGTGAGTTACAGTACCCTAGACAATGAGGTGTATTTCCTACGCACGTACATATTTGCAATTTTCCAGGGTACAGTACTAGTAAAGAAGTGACTAGTATAAGGTA